GGTGTTGGTGGGGTTGTTTGTGTTTATATGATTTTGGTGTGTCTAATAAACTGTATTAGACACCAGACAATGCTCATTGGCATTGTCTGGTGTGGTCACGCATTTGGTTCTCCCGTGTGGGTACCTGCATGCGGTGTGAGGACACCTGCGCACGGTACCTTGACAGAATGTAAGATGATTTGATATCGGTATGCAGAGGTGAATGCTCATGCAATTTTTAGTGAAAGGGGGGTAAAGATTGGGGTGGCTGCATTCGTTTTTTGTTTTTTTTCATTTATTTTCAGCTGGTGATCCTGCCAGTAACACACTTCCTGTCCTAGCCTGACGATGTTCACTCACAATACTGTATCCAATGAGAAGCAATGTCACCTTAAACTGGATCTTTACCCCCTTTTCAGTAAAAGTCACATCAGTATGAAGCTCTGCATGCTGATATGAAATCATCTTACATTTATTAGTTAAACAAACATATTTTTATTTTACTTACAATTCCAATTTTCCTACTTCCTAGTCCTCTTGGGCATTAGTGATATAATGGTGCCCAAGCATTGAATCCAGGTTACATCAGCAGTGTATTGCTGGGAAATCTCATCTGTAAACTCACAAAATCTCAGGGAAAGGCATTTTCCTCCCCTCAGATGATGTGCATGGTCACATGTCCTAGTCGCATGTGCCAGAGTTCCAGGAAGTAAAGGAGATGGATTCATCTGCCCTTAAAGGAGAATTATGAGGCGAGTGATTTTCACTCAGCCTCATAATCTGAGCCGACCTGTGACAATTAAACTGTCACAGGTCGGCTCAGTAGATCAGGAAGTGAGCGAACACATACCGTCGCTCGCTCACTTCTCGATCTATCTGTGCAGAGAGCCATGACTGTCACTCACGGCTCCCTGCAGGGATTCTCCCCTCCCCTATCTGATCCTCCAGCGCTGACTGTCAAAACGGACAGGGGAGGGCACAGCTGGCTCTGCCTCTGGATGGGCAGAGCCAGCTGTCAATCCCGCAACTGGGTGGATCCAGACAGTATTGTTGGGATCCATCCCGGCTGCGGTGTCTCAGTATACCGCGAGCTGTAGCTCGCGGTATACTGAGCTTTGGGCCACGGGAGGACGCTAGTTTGTGTTCTCCCGCGACCCTCAGGAGAACTATGGGGAAAAGCCCTAACCCCATAGTTCTCCTTTAATAAAAATGGTCACTGTGAGGAGAATGGGGAGGAAAAGAAAAGTAAGGTATGCAAAGAATAAAAAGCCGACAATTATCTATAAGTATCGGTTTGTAGATTGTCATTACTAAACATTTCTAATGGTGTCGTTGTTGTTATTTCAAAGTTCCTCTTTAAGACAGGACTACAGAACACCCCCCCCCCCTTCTTCTCTTATCCATAACATAGGAAGGAGATTTTTTGTAGTTCACAAAGAGAACTAAGAACAGTGTAACAGATAAGAGTGCAGCAGAGGCAGAGAGCACAGAAAGTTATCAGTCTACAAGATTTCTGGCAGGATCAACAGGTATTTTTTGCGCTTATCAAACAGATATAAAAAACCGCTTTCAATAGTATATTTAACCGACCAAAAAGGAGCAAATAAGAGAAGTTTCATTGTTAGGGTTTACGTACCCTTTAACTGGAGGGCATCTTTGAGACACCCACTGTTTGCTTTGATATGAGTCATAGCAACAAAGACGCCCCTTGTATCAGTGTCAGCCTATTTTAATTGGCCGCCTTTACCCTGCCACTGGCTGCGCGGCTGCAGCTCTCCAGTAAATATTGTGCTTCCCTAGACAAAGTTCACTTGCCATAAATGAAATGTAAACCACTTAATCTGTTAGATATTTAGCACTTGTCGGTATTTTCCCAGCAAATCCCTGGGCTCGCGCCCTTTGACGGCGTCTCGTACAAACGCTAACATCTCGAATCAGCCACACCAGAGACAAAAATGACATTTACATGGCTCTCCTAAGCCGTCACACCGGAGGGGTCCTTAAACAGGCAGGGCACGCCAATATTTAATAAACGGCACACGCCATTGTCGGCTAAAATTTGCATTTCGCCGCTGTGCGGCATATTTGGGATATCCCCCCCCCCCTTCTTCTCTTATCCATAACATAGGAAGGAGATTTTTTGTAGTTCACAAAGAGAACTAAGAACAGTGTAACAGATAAGAGTGCAGCAGAGGCAGAGAGCACAGAAAGTTATCAGTCTACAAGATTTCTGGCAGGATCAACAGGTATTTTTTGCGCTTATCAAACAGATATAAAAAAACGCTTTCAATAGTATATTTAACAGACCAAAAAGGAGCAAATAAGAGAAGTTTCATTGTTAGGGTTTACGTACCCTTTAACTGGAGGGCATCTTTGAGACACCCACTGTTTGCTTTGATATGAGTCATAGCAACAAAGACGCCCCTTGTATCAGTGTCAGCCTATTTTAATTGGCCGCCTTTACCCTGCCACTGGCTGCGCGGCTGCAGCTCTCCAGTAAATATTGTGCTTCCCTAGACAAAGTTCACTTGCCATAAATGAAATGTAAACCACTTAATCTGTTAGATATTTAGCACTTGTCGGTATTTTCCCAGCAAATCCCTGGGCTCGCGCCCTTTGACGGCGTCTCGTACAAACGCTAACATCTCGAATCAGCCACACCAGAGACAAAAATGACATTTACATGGCTCTCCTAAGCCGTCACACCGGAGGGGTCCTTAAACAGGCAGGGCACGCCAATATTTAATAAACGGCACACGCCATTGTCGGCTAAAATTTGCATTTCGCCGCTGTGCGGCATATTTGGGATAAAAGCTTTTATTTGTGAAGTGATCATTATTTTAACAAAGAGGAGCCACTTGATAATTTCCATTTTAACTCTCCAGTACGCTATCAGCTATTCAGGACGATTATGTTAAATTGTGGCTGTAATCATGTTATTGTCGCACATTGAGGAGGAGGAGGACATCTTCATCTGATGTTTTAACAAAAAAATAAAAAAAGCAGGCATTGAAGTGGCTACTCGCAACTCGCTGAGAATGTTTTATTACTCCCAACGATGTGTTTTGGTATGTCCTAATTACACAGAATTGCTCTCTTTATCTAGCACTTTACATCGGTGCACATCGGTGGTAATAAAGGTTTCATGTGTATGTAAACCCTAATAGTGAACATGTGTTATTTGGTGTCTTCTGACCTATTAAAGAGACCCTGTCACTAACTTAAAACAATTCCGGTAAAACCAACTATGTTAAATGCTTACTTGCAGCATTCTTCCTTTCCATAAATTATTTTTTATTGGCTTACTCTGAACTTGCATTAAAATTTAACAACTTCAGAAGGAGTCGATGCCCTAGCACGGACCCCTACCTCCTTGCATGCTTGCATGTTATAGCCCTCTTCTCTTCTGGGAGTGCCCAATTACTGTCTGTGATGACCAAGCTCCTTCACCCCTCCCTTCACCTCCCTATATAATCTTTTAAAGAGACCCTGTCACTAATTCAAATTCAGGTAAAAGCAAGTATGTTAATTGCTTACTTGCAGTATTCTTTCTTTCCTTAAATTATTTTTTATTGACTTAACTCTGAAATTGCAAGAAAAGTTGATGACTTCGGAAGGAGTCAATGCCATGACATAGGCTCTTCTCTTCTTGTAGTGTTCAATTCCTGTCTGTGCTGACCAAGCTTCTTCGCTCCTCCCTTCACCTCCGTACAGAGTCTTATATGTAGCTGCTTGAGTAGGAGCGAAGGGGAACACTGTAGAGCATCCTTGAGGAATCAATTTATGCTAATTCAGGGAGGGTGGGATCCATTCAGAAAAGGACGGCAATTCGTCTCCATCCAGGCCTGCTCTGCCTACTGCCCTCTGCGGTGCTGCCACATCTTTGGCCTCTCTGGTTGACATTGGGACTGGGGATTCTGATGTGAAGAGGGAACACAAAAGTAAAAGGGGGGCTCTGATATGAAAAGGGGCTCTGATGTGAAGGGGGCTTCTGATGTGAAAAGGGGCTGTGATGTGAAGGGAGACTCCTGATGTGAAGGGGGTTTCTGATATGAAGAGGGGCTCCTGATGTGAAGTGGCTTTTTAAGCAAAGAAGGGCCTCTAATGTAAAGGGGCGATGTAAAAGAGGGGGCTCTGGTGTGAAGGGGGGACTCTGATAAGAAGGGGAACCCCATTTTGTGTGCTTTTTGCATGGAGTCTGGTATGGATTTTGAAGGGACCACATGTCGTAGCCCACTACAATTTATTTAATCATTTCATCAATGGTACATTACATTATGCTTTTTATCTTCTATTTTAAATCCAGTATGTATATTTTCATTAGTATTTAAAGAAATAAAGAATCTGGCTTATGTATATAATGTGTTTATAAATGGCAGTTCATACACTTCTTATGTGAAGAGTGGTTGCTGCAGCTTTCTGCCCAAGGAACCTGTGTCTGTCTCTCTGAATCGCTCATCTTGAGATCCCTGAACCCATATTTCTCACTTATATGTAAGACAGGAGAGGTGTTCCTAAACACACCCACTGCAGGTTCATGCCTGTCTCTCACATATGGAAACTCTGGTCCAAGTGTTCAAGTTTGTCACAGCCACCAATCAAGTTTAAACCTGTGCTCAAGTTTCTGATTGGTGATACATTAAGCAAAGAAAGAGGAATAAAGTAGAAAAGTTTAGGAAGCAGAGCCTCCCACACCACATGTGAGGAGCAGTGTGAAATCTGGCCTCACTGAATCTGCAGAGATAAATTGAATAGACTTTCTGACCTGAGTTCTGCAGTGTTTGATAGCCTTAGAAATTCACTAGCTGGTTTCAGTTTGGTTTACACTTTAACTGATTATATATTGTAATGTTAAAAGCTCTTTTTTTTCTCAAGTGACATGCATTTAATAAGTGTAAAATATGTTATTTGTAATTCATGATATTTGTAAACTACAGTAAGTCTTTATGTTCTCTGGCTTCCACTTATAATAATACACATAATAACACATCACCTGGTCTTTTTTATCCCCTCTTGAAAAGCAGCTACTCCTTGTATCAAAGCGATCAGCCCGAGTGAAGGATGGACTACCGGAGGGGCCACCGTCATCATCATAGGAGACAATTTCTTTGATGGCCTACAAGTCATATTTGGAACCATGTTGGTATGGAGTGAGGTGAGTGTCATGGTACAGAATGACTGACGATCATGTTTAGTCCTGTCCACCAATACTAACCATCATTTAAGATGTCTTTGTCATGTTGTGAGTCTCAGTGACCTAAAAGTGTAACTAAACCCACATTTTTTTCTTTTTGTTTTGGAAACAATGGCGAGGATTTAGAAATCCTGTCCACTTTTTATTGCTATCTTTATTCCTGTTGGAAAAATGTACCCCTCTAATTGTGCTGGTTGTGCACTGAAAGAAAAAAAAAGGGGAAAGCCACAATTTTGAATAGTCACTATAAAAAAAAGAGGGACATTTTTCCAATGGCGACAACTGTCTAGGAGGGGATTTGACTTACTTTGGATAGATTTCCTCTCACTTCCTGTTATGTATACACATTGACTCTAATTTACTAAAGAAGTAGAGTATGTTCACAATGAAAGTGAATTTTTACTTATCTTAGTGATTGAGGTAAAAAAATTCAATTTGAAAGTGAACATGCCGTACTCCCTTATTAAATCAACCCATTGCCTTTAAAGTGTATTTGAAGCTGAACTCCGGGGAAGCAAATATTGCCCAAATAAGAGTCAGGTGTAATAATACTTGAATCTTTGTGAGCTTTGTGTATTTCTTCCGGATCTGTACAGTCATCCAGTGTGAAACTTTTTCTCTGTGCAGGAGCTTCCTGTAATAAAGTCACTGCTGCTCTCTCTCCTTGTGCAGGATGACATGTGACTGGTCTTGTCTCCGCCCCCTCCTGTAGTTTTCTGCAAGCATCCTCTAGTGGGTGGGGCCTGCTGGTAGTTAGATATGGTAGTTGTGGATGTATATCCTCTGTGGCTTTTGAAGAATATATTTAAATACATGTTATTTGGAGTTAAATTGAAGTTCAGTTTTAAAGGCAAACTTTTTTTAAATAGAGCAGGGAAGGGTAGGTTCCATTGTCAGTTTTTTATCCTGTCTGTGTCCCATTGGGAAGTGGAAATGAAAGGAATTGAGAGGAACTCTCTGCAAAGTGAGGGATCTGACAGGGGTTGTTCCCATTCCACACCCCATCCAAAACTTAAAATAGAAAAACATTTTGCCATTCGATACACTTTAAGGATGAACTTCTATTGTTGCCCAATCAGATTTTCACTTTATTATCCAATACTGTCCTAGAAACATTAAAAGAATAATTTATTTATTTACTAGAACAATCCAAAACAGCATTTCCTACTCACTGTTTTGATCTTTACAGAGAACATTAAACCATTCAGATCCCTAACTACATTGACAGAGCATTTTATTATTCCTACCACAATCATGTGCACACACACAAGGGCCTTTCTGGTTGGTTGCCAGTAAACCTACCAGTAGGGTTTTGGACTGTAAAACCCTCTCAAACACAAGTACAATGTATGAACTCTATGCATATGGCGTCTTGGTGGAAACTAAATCAATCTGTAGAGCCACAGTGTTAAGCACTGACCATATTTTTTTTAGCTCAGCAAACACCTTTAAAGAGAATCAGGGCGAATTGGCATGTTCTTTTGTTAGAGTCCAAAGAGTGTCCTACCGCACCCCTTACCAGAAACCCCTTAAGGATGGGTGCTGAAATGACTGTGGATGGCACCGCTGGGATCAATGGAGAAGCAGGATGTCACCAGCTCACTGAATAGATAGATGAAACAAACGTCTTTTATTGACGCATATTGTCACAATGATAGCGACATTTCGGAGTTGTGCAGAGTCCTCTTCATCAGGGTCAGTATGGACCCGATGAAGGGGACCCTGAGCAGCCCCAAAGCATTGATATCATTGTGACAAGATGCGTCAATTAAAGACGTTTGTTTCATTAATCTCTTTGGTGTGTTGGTAACATCTTGCTTCTCCAAGGTTCTCTTGTTAGGACACCCCCCTTCTCCATGATCGCCCACTGCTCCACTCATCTGTCAAAGTCCTTGGAAATACCCAGTGCTCCTAGGTATGAGGAGCATGTGACAATCCATTTCCGTTTACTAAAAGGATGGAGTGCTCAGTCCTGAGTGGCCAATTGCCAGGTCCGAGCGGTGTCACATAGGAGAGGGTGCAAGGTCATTACCCTCCATAAGCTCTAAAACAGACAGACACAGAGCTTCCACAGTGATTAGACTCAGGGTCCATGATGAACGGAGCAGCAGTAAAGCACAGTAGTTAATAGTGAAGTAAGCATGGCCTAACAAGAGGACCTGTCCTTTTCCCCCCAAATAGACAAAGTGACAGCTCCTCTTTAGGAAAAATCACTAAGTATAGTAGCATTGAGAGAAGAGTGTATGTTAGAATGTTGCAGTTAATCATCCTTCCAATCCCGATGTAGCGAAGAGCTTTCTTTGTATTCAGAGGCAGTGTGAAATCTTTGTCAGAATTCTGCTCAGAAATCTCCAACCGGCAGGACAATAGTTGGCTCTCTGCGAGATGTGTGAAGACAGTGAAAGAGCAGTTCTGATGTAACCAGGAGGCAAAGTGCATATATCTTATATTAGAGAGAGCTTTAGAGCATAAAAAAGCCAGCTAACAAGGAAACTCCTAACAATTCCGGGGATTTGAGAGCAGTGCCGTGTGCAATTGTTAGCTGACACACTACACGTGTTGGGGTCGTGGCTCTGCTACATTTATTACAACAAAGACGCAGCTAATAAGATTCAGCGCAGTGAAATCCTGACGTTTTCGGAGCTAGCCGAGCTGGAGATGTTGGCTAATTGATACATTTGGGTTTTCTAGCTCTAGCTGACCCCCTACCTATCATGTTTCACGTGTGTTTGCAATCCTCTCCATCAGTTTGTTCTTTGCCATGAAACTTGAGATCCATCTCATGGCCGTTCTCATAGAGTATCTCTAATGCTGTTAAATTCCAGCTTTTTTTTTGACAGTTGTTAAATGATAGTCTCATCTAAACAATGTTGCTGTTTTATTTCTCCTTGAGAAGAGACTTAAAGAGGAAAAAACATTTTTTTTCTTCACGCTATTCATAAAATTCTTTTTTTTTGGATCAAGCTGTTCTTGGTTTAAAGAGTTTCTGGCATTTTATATATCTACTAATATGTAATACTGTATTATATGTAGTAATGTGTATTACTAATATATGTAAACTAGGGATGCACCGATACTAGTATTGGTATCGGTGCTGATCCTGAGTATTTGGGCAAGTACTTGTACTCACCCAAATGCTCCCAATGCCTATCCCTATACCGGAACTGCCGGTATCAGGAAGCCGGGCGGCGAGTCATTACATGCTGCCCGGCTCCCTGATTGGCCGGGAAGCCGCACTAGGTGACGAAGGAGCATGGAGCCGGCTTCCCGGCCAATCAGGAAGTCGGGCAGCATGTAATTACTTGCTGCCCAGCTTCCTGATTGGCCAATCAGGAAGCCGGGTGGCGAGTCATTCCCCCCCTTGCTTCCTGATTGGCCAGAAAGCCGACTCCATGCTCCCTCGTCACATGGTATGAGCATGGAGCCGGATTCTCGGCCAATCGGGAAGCCTGGCGGCGAGTCATTCCACGCCGCCCGGTTTCCCGGCTAATGACTCAATAATGGGACTTCCGGTATCGGTATTCGGTATCAGCGAGTAGTGAGAAAAAAATATCGTTACTCGTACTTGATACCGAAAAAACGGTATCGGTGCATCTCTAATGTGAACCATATCTATAATCTTCTCTTATTTGCTCCCTTTAGTCCATTAAATATACCATTGAAAACAAAAGCAAAAATAGCTGTTGATCCTTCATAAATCTAGTTAATCTAAATCGAAGTGCTCTCTGCCTCTAATGTAATTATATTGTTACCAGTTATCTTCTGTGGACTACAGAACACTTTCCCCCTAAGTTTTGGAGATGAGGAGAGGGAAAGGGTTTCTTTTAGTCTAGTTTTAGGGTTACAACACTGTTTCTCCATAGATATAGTATGGTGAGCGAGTGCTTTCACTTTAGGGCACCATGTGTGTCACGGGCAGGATTGTCATGTGAAACTAATGGGGGGAAAAAGCCTGAAAAGGACACTCATTCAGCTACCATATCAATGGACTGGTAAGCTGCAATATATTATATATTTTTTCTTGGGTTTAGATACTCTTGAAAGCAAACCTGTACTTTGTCTATGATGGGCAAGCAACAGATTTAGTTAAACCCCACCCTTTCCCAACAGCATTTACTCAACTTTTGCTTGCTTCTCCTCCACTCCATTCAGAAACAAAAGAAAAATGCCCAGTACTTCAAAGTATGGGGGAACATTTTATTTTCATTTTCTGATTGAGCAAGTACCAACACTAGTGGGCTGGGGCAGAGTCCTCAGTTCAGTGTAAGCTCTGACTAGAGCAACTCAGAGCTTGCAGTGGGGTTTCTTATTGGCTATATATGGCAGCTATACAAAGTGAAAGGGAGCAAAGAAAAGGTATTTTCTGCTGGGGAGGCATTGAAAATAATCTGTTCTTTGCATAGGCAAACTACAGGTTTGCTTGAAGGGAACCTGTTATGAAGTATGTTACCTGGTACAGACAAGGCCCCTGTTTAATGTTGGAGATGGTCATCGCCCTTCTCTCGAATGTGGTGTTCTTAGCCATAGCGGTAATGATGCTTTTGGCTATCCGGCACTTACAGCCTCCAAATCACAAAGTACATTTTTTTGGGATGTAACAGCTTTCCTGAAACAAATCTCTTTACCTTGAAAATTTTGATCAGTTCCCGAGACTGCAAATCTCTCTATCTGTTCTCTGCCTTGCCACCTGCCTAAAAAAACTGTGTGAAACAAAGCTGCCCAAGCTCTGGCTTTTCATGTTTAAGGCCAGCAGGGGATGGATAGAGTAGAGTAGGGGAATGCTAGAACTCTTGTCAGATTTCTTATGACTCTTGGCATACACTTTAACAAATTGGGGATTTTCATAACCTGTGCACTGTACCATTATAGATATTACTGACTGCCATCACCATCCCCTTCCTGCTCCTCCTCCACTGTTGGCTGGCTTCACATCAGACCGTTATTGTCTTTCTCTTGCATTCCTTTCTTTCTCTACATAGTTGCAAGAAATTGACAGATGTTTAGCCTTATGTAATCCCTGATTTTAGAGACACCACTGAAAAAAAACACACAGGTGTCACTAAACTTTTAACATTAGACGATGTCTTTTCAAGATGTATCTACATACAGTAGCTCATTTTAGAGAAAAAAGTACAGCCTGTTTCTTTCAGGTGAATATTTCCAAAATGGGTGAAAATTTAAGACACAATTACTTCCTTGTGGGCTATAAATATAGACAAAGTTTATTGTCATTGTTACCTTGATTAAATACTGCAAGGACCTGTGCACTGAGGAAACATTGAGGTCAACCAATATATCCAGGGCCTCCTAAAATAGCTTGTTGCTGTCATTGGTTTTAGAATAGATTTGTAGCACAGTCCAGGCCTCCAGAGAATTTCTGCAGATTTCTCTAATACATTAGGAATGCATTAACATTCACTGTGAATGTATAGCCCATAGATGCTTCAGAAGCTCTTTGAAAACCAAAGTGTCAGTCTGAATTCTTGTTCACACAGGACTATATTAATAATGAAATGCAGTGAGCATCTGAAATAACTAATAATTAGCAAAAGATGTCCTATCAACAGAAGTTGATTTTTGATTGGTTTCTGCAATTTAAAGCACACTACTAAATATGTTATTAAAGAGACAGCAAACCTAGTAACCCTAGAATCACTATCACTTGCCTTTCCTCTCTTGTTCATGAACCATGCCTTCTCAACCATCCTGAGCTACAGATTATTGCCTGATGTGGCAGATAGGCATGTTTTCGTTTTTCATCCAAACCTAGATTCATGTTAGAAAAGTAGGCAAAGGGAAGGGATTCCCTTCTAAGTGAATTGCACAACCTTGTATAGTGAATGTAGGTATGTGTTGGTTGAAAAGATGGCCAGTGGCTTGTTGATGAGCAGTTATAATGGCTTGTATAGTAGGTTTTGTAGCCCTCTTGCCTTCCTCAACACAAAACATATTTTCAGGCTTATTTAAACTTCTGTTAAGCTTCTAATTGTCACGTTTCCCCATACCAGTGGAATACCAGATATTTTCAGATGCCCTGAAGGCAGAGCAGAAAAGGCAATTAGGTTGGCTAACTATGGCCTCCTTGTTAAAGTTGGAAACTTCAAAGTAAACCTGTCAGATCCCAAAAAGCATTTATGCAAGTTTGTACAGCAGAAAAGGCCCAGCCTAGGATTCAGGGTGTGTTATTAGGTAGACTTGTGCTAATTTCGATTCGTAACGAAACGAATCGCACATGTCTATTACTAGGGTGAATTTATCTCATGTGCTTACTTACCTGCCTATGACTTTAGAGTTCTCCAGTGTTTACAGTTCTCCTCTTCAAAATCTTCTCAGACAATGACGATCGCATGTGCATTGAGTTCCCATAGACTTGAACACGGCAGTACCCCTGCAGGCTGCAGGTATTAAGAGTAATGTTCCATTCAAGTCTCTGGGCACTCAGGTGTGCAAAGGTGTGACCAGCACCTGAGAGGATGCCACCACTGTCATGTCAAGTAAGCAAACAACCTCCTTTAAAGGCACAGGGATGCACAAGGGACCCTGCACATCACAACGGCAGCTGAGACCCCCCCCCCCCCCCCATGCGTCACTGCACCAAATCAGTCAAGCAAAACAAAGGAGGTTGGGCTTCCTCCTGACAAGCCTACACCCAATTTTATCTTTTGCCACATGTGCTCCAAGATGGAGACTCTCATAGTTTAGAGTTAGGACCGCACTATATAGAGGTGCCTTGACGCGGCGGTGCGGCTTTCACATTTTCTACAGAAGTCGTGTATCTAAACCTCTGTGTTTAACCTTAGAGGTGAGACAAGTTTTTTTGCATGCTGGCTGGTGAGTGTGCTGGGAAACTTTTTGCTGTTGTACTGTAGAAAGCCCTTCCATGTGCACCTTGCTGTAAAGCTGGTGACAAATTGATGAGTGCGTTTGCCATTTGTTTTGCTTGACTGATCTCATTGTAGGTTACTAAATGTATGCTGCACCCAGATAGTGTTCCCAGATAGCAAGGATAACTTGCTACAAACTTGTGGCGGGGTGAAATTGTAATTTTGTTAACTTGCTGCACATATTCCTGGCAAGTTGTAGACTTGCAGAACACTCGCAGCACAAGTTCTAGTTGACACTTTTTGAACTTGTAGCAAATTTCTTGGCAAGTCTACAGCAAGAGTCCTGCAGGTCTTAGCAAGAGCTCTGCAAGCTCGCTGGTCTGGAGACTTGCAATGCAGACTTGATGTAATTGTGCAACAAAATTGTGAAGCTTGGCAAGTCTGCAATAGTTTAGCAAGTCATTTTCAAACTTGCAGCACAATTTCTTGCTATCTGGGGTTGTATGTCGCATCCACATAGAGTTGTATGTCACATCCACAGTGTGTTTACTTCCATTATCACCTTTTTACATGACTGCATTACATAGTCTTCACCTAGGTAAATACAAATATTCAGGAGTATTCTTGTACTTGTGACATCCCCTTCACTGACAGAGGGCACGTACACAACGGAAATCGTAAGAGTCTTGCTCGGGTAACCAGGATTCGATTGGCTGTCGATGCATTCACTGTGTACTGTGATTACGCTAAGTGGGTGACTGAGGTCTGCAGTTTAGCATGTCAGCCTTAATAATCGAATTCATGCCCTGACTTTAATTGCTCTATTCTGTTTAACCAATTAATCTCTGTAAGGATCCATTGCTTTACACTTATGTCCCGTGCACAATCACCACACTTCATATTGAATTGCTGTCAGAGCGCCATTATGAGCGATCATAGAGTGTTGTATGCTTAACTTTTGTGTGTGAAGTATATTGTCATTGCGCTCCATGTGCTTCATAGAAACACTGACAAGTTAATTACATCTTTTGTGCCTTTGTTTATAAAGCTGTCACAGAGAGACGTTACAGAGGATTGGAAACACACAGCCATCCCTTCATTGGCTAATTGGCGTCTCTTTTGTTTCTTTAGTTAATTACGCCGCATGCCATCAGAGTACAGACCCCTCCCAGACACATCCCAGGCGTGGTGGAGGTCACATTATCCTATAAATCCAAGCAGTTCTGCAAAGGGACGCCCGGGAGATTCATTTACACAGGTAGGTCTTGTGGTTTTTCTTCCTTTACTCTTTAGGGTTCCCGTATTTAAAGCTGCAATCCAGACTAACTGCTAAATGCACCATGTAAAACATATATGGGAAAAGGTTTACCTGCCAACGGATGTGTATTTCTATCCACCTTAGAAATGCACAGTCCTACAAGACAATACAGCCAGTCTGGTGACCTGATTCTTGTCTACTGCAGTAGTAGACTGATTGTCATTTCTCATCTACTGCAAGGATGCTCCTTGTCAGCAGATGTGAATGCAAAGCCCCTCCCTCTCCCAGTCAGGCAAAAAAACAACAAACAATTCAGGTTATACTAGCTGCAGTTAAAATACATTTTCATGGTGGGGGGTTATATAAAGACATTTAATTAATCAGCCTTTTTTTCTTAAATTGCCTGGAGTTCGCCTTTAAGGGAGAACCTCAAGCAAAATGCAAAAATTTGGTACTTAAGTACTGATGGGCATTTTGAATAACCGTTTTGTTTTTGGACTGAAGCTATGAATCCTTTGGCCTATAACAGGTAATGAAGTCTTTCTCAGATGGTTCTGCCTACTTTAGACAACAAACCAACCACCACCAGCAATGCCATTCCTTCTAACCTTAGTCCCACATCTAATCTACATAGGGAGTCTGCATACCTTCTAGGAAGTCCTCTGCAACCACAGTGATCTTTCAGCTTATAACTGAACACATAAATGTTTATTAGGATCTATTCACTGAACATTCTCTGCAGTTAACAGAAAAAGTTTGCAAACAAAGGAACTCCACCCAAACTCACCACATAATTTTTCAGTGAGAAACAAATAGAGGGGTTCACAAACATGTTTACCTGCAGTGTTCCCTGGTCAGTAGAGACACAGGAACATCACAATACAAGTTGTTATGCTAAAGAGTCACCAGAAAGGCAAGGTCTGATTATTGCATAGGCCGCAACCCTGCAATAAAAAAAAGGCTGCAAGCAGACTTAAAAATATACTTACCTTACACCCCAGTTTCCACCCACAGTTCCTAGCCAAAGGTGACATTATGACTCTTCTGGGGAGATCATGGGAATGCTGAGGGTCCCAAATCTCACAAGAAGGTGTTCCTATGCAGTGCTGAAGTGTCTTCTATTGACATTTTATTTTTTTTCCATGTGTGGGCATCTAAAAAGGGAAACTGTCTTTTGATGTAAGGTCCACTTTAAGCAGTAAATGGTGGCCACTCAGTCTAAATTTACTACCACCAAAAGATGCCAACATAAACACAATATGGTGCACTACATTTTGCAAGTATGTCTTCAGGCAACAAGAGCAGAGGAACGTTTGGCAGCTGCGACTTAGTTACATAACTGGCTTCTACTGTAGTTTGGCTTTTGTCAAATCAGAGAAGTTTAGGTAGTCGGGAGGCAGAGCAAGTACTGCTAAAGGACTATCACCCCAATTCTTCTTGTTTTCGATCATGGCACCGGTCTTAAAACACACAGGCTGACCAAACTTCAAGGAGAACTATGAGGTGAGTGCTTTTCACTCACCTCATAGTTCTAGCCGACCTGTGACAATGAGACTGTCACAGGTCGGCTTAGCAGATCGGGAAGTGAGTGCACACATACCAGCGTTCGCTCACCTCTCGATCCTGTCACGGCTCTCTGCCGTGACAAGGGAGGGGCTGGATTCCCCCTCCCCGCTCCGCCAGCTCTGACTGGTGGAACGGATGGGGTAGGGTACAGCTGGCTCTGCCTCTAGATAGGCAGAGCCAGCTGTCAGTCACACAGCTGGGCGGATCCAGACATAATTGTTGGGATCCGCTTCAGCTGCGACGTCTCAGTATACCGCGAGCAGCAGATCGTGGTATACTGCGGCGTCTCAGTATACCGTGAGCTACAGCTCACGGTATACTGAGCCTAGGGTGACGGGAGGACGCTAGTTTGTGTCCTCCCGCTACCCTAAGGAGAACTATGGGGAAAAGCCTTAACCCCATAGTTCTCCTTTAAAGAAACAATACAATAGAACAGGGGTAGGTAACCTCGGCACTCCAGCTGTTTTGGAACTACAAGTCCCATGAGGCATTGCAAGACTCTGACAGCCACAGGCATGACTCGCAGAGGCAAGAACCTGATGGGATTTTTAGTTTTACTACAGCTGGAGTGCTGAGGTTGCCTACCCCTGCATTAGAGTGAGACAAGGAGGAAATGAGAAAAGCAGATTATTGTTGTTGTTCCATATCAGGCCACGTATTAGTCATAGATCCTGCATTTATTTTATGGAGAAAAGCTTCCGCCAGTATGCTGGAGCTGTGTGTGCAGGATGCAGCCAGTCTGCAGAAAGACTAGTTAGTAAAGCACTTGTTTTGTGGAATGCTTCAGTCTGCCCCTGGCTGTTCCCTCTTAATAACTGATCAGCCAGGAAACAGAGATCAATCACAGAGGAACTGAGGCCAACACAAACATATTGACCAGAGCAAAGCCAATATCTGACCAATGAAGAAACTTCATTCATCATCTGAATGAGAGAGGGAGAGAGAGAGAGAGGAGTCAGGAGAAAACGCAGACACTACCGGGAACAAATTGTAGGACTCCCAAGTCACTTTATTGCCCTTGCTGCTCTGTCCTGCTCCTAATCAATTACTACAGTGTGGCTCATTTGTGAGGGGAGGACAAGGAATCAAATAGTAGCAATTGCTACAACAGCCACGCTACTGCCATCATTGTTATAGTTTCTTGAATTTAAAGGCTATCTAAACACAAAAATCCAAATGTACTATATTGCAGCTCAGCTGGGTCTAGATGTGATGGCTGGTTTACTTTTCATTTTCAGGTTAAAAACATTATCAGCAGGGACAGAAAATGGCAATTGAGCATGCCAAATATGCAAGGTTCTTGTCACTTCCTCAAATGAAAACACAAACCTTGTTATCTTCCTTCTGTAAACTACTAATTCCGCCACACCATGCAATGGTGATGAGGATATAAACACATGTTTGAATTCAGCCTGGGTGACAACCATGTCTTTCTCCATAGTAAGTGAGCGTTGTCAACCTAGCAAAGCAAGTGCGTTATTTGCAGGATCACCGGGGAAAAAGAAAGAGAAAATAAACCTGATTTAAAAAAAAACAAATTAAACCACCATCTCTATGAACTGGTAATCTGCAACATATTATATTTTTGTTTTTCGGTTTAGATACACTTTAAGGCAATCATCTGCTTAGTTGCCAGCAGGAATTGACGTTAAAACTGTCATTTGTCATTTCTATACTGCACTTCTCTTTACTAATTCAAGGAACACAATCTTTGTGTATTCATTTTTTTATTTATTTTTAACCAGTAAATATGAAATATATTATACGACTAAATTTGCAGATGAAAAGCATCTAGCATGCCACTTCCTGTCTGCAAATGGTAAATGTCCAGCCAGCAGATGGCGCACTTGATATTGTTCCCCTGTTTTTCTCCAAACGTATTTACTACTATGATGTAAATAGACTGAAAAGCTTGTGTGATTAGATCTCCAGCAATTCAGATTTATTCACAACACATATACACAGCTTAATGACTCAAAGGAGGGACATGCCTCCTTCCCTCTTGGTAGTTCATACAGACCTGTATGGGTTTTCAGTTAGATAGAGGCAGTTAACAAGTGAGCGGCAGCGCCTGGGCTCGCTTATTAAAAAGCCCAACCTGATCTTCAAAAAACTTGTCATGAATAAAAATGGCAGTAGAAAACAGTAAGCTCCTGTTTCACATTTGATACAGGGTGTTTCTGTTCCACGTTCTATAAGGACATTTGTACTCCAGGAGCGCACACCTTATCTACTGCCTGGTGCCAGGATGAAACCTCCTTTGTCAACTCAGTGGAACTTCAAATCTACAGAAACGTCATACATCTGCAAACAGGTATTTGTCCATTTAAAAAGCTCATTCACTTTATTCCATGGACAAAGACCTGTGTGCAGATGAATTACGTTTCTTTAGATTTGAAGTTCCTCTGAGCTGACAAAGGAGGTTTCATCCTGGCACCAGGCAGTAGATAAGGTGTGCGCTCCTGGAGTACAAATGTCCTTAAAAAACCTGGCACAGAAACACCGTGTATCAAATGTTTGTATGACAAATAAAGAATTATTACAAATAAAACGAATGATTCAGTTTATAAACTTGTAATCATTCAAAATAATATGTACTGTGCAATGTTCCACAAACCATTATAGTTCCCCTTTAAGTCCTCTCATCTTCTATTTTTTGTTATTACGGGAACAGTTTTTAGTCCACATGAATTAGAGCCTTAACTCGAATCCCCCCCACCACCACCACCTTTAAAGTAATCAGAAAATGTATAGAGCAGCAGATAAAATAATAAAAAAAAGGTTGTAGGATATCGACCCTGGCAAAATAATAACACGAGTCATCTGTAGGAAGAAGAAAAATGAAGCGCTGAAGGTGGGGAGGGGTGTCTGAGCGTGCTGCTGTGTGTATTGATCCAGAGGAAAGAAGCACACACTCGTCTTCTCATTAGCTCCCTGGCTCCATGGTCTC